CTGGTCTTCACTCGCTCCCTAGCCTCACGCAGAACCCTCAAATATTTCATTAAAAATCCTAGAGTGAGCAAATAAAAATAAAAATGGTTAGACTATCTCTTCAATGATGATACATGGCTTAAAATACATTGCGGACAATAAAGAGTGTTAATGCCACTCAGAGTATCATGGAACGTGCGAAGAAAAGGCACTTTAATCAGAAGGTCGTTGATTAATGACTCAATACACTACGCCACAAATTATTTACCAGACTAGGTGCCCAAAACCCCCAGTTCACCCAGACGTGGAAAGACTTTCCTGGCCTCCTCTTCTGATAACCGTGTCAAGTCACGAATAAATGCGTCCATACAACTGGGCACATGCGAAAGAGAGATGAGAAGGCCATCCAACCGCGCTGACTCCACCAGTCCCAACAATAAGTTCTCGCAGTCACAAACCTCTTCATTATACATCTCCAGCGCTTCCAACATCCCCGAGTTCGTCGGAAGGCGTAAAGCCCTCCACTCCTGTGCGAACACCAGCTCGATGTACTCGAGACGGCAAGTGGAACCCAGGTGAGCTATTATCGTTCCTAGCTTGTCCCAGACTCGCACGGTTGACCCTGGTGAGGCCTAAGCTCGCCGCACGGCCAGACCGACGACAACGGTGATGCACTTGAGAGTGGGGAGGCTTTAGACATCTACAGCAGTGTACAGAAGCGATCAGCGTGCAATGGAGGTAGCCCGGATCGCATGGGCTTACGTATCTTGGAATCCTCTATCTCAAATATAACATGCTCCGGTGGAGTGGGAAGGGATCCGGCCATGCGCATAAATCTGTTAGTTTACTGGTCGCGGTAACCAACCCCGTCTAGTGTCTTGAATGACGTCGCCTGAGATAGACGGTGTATCACCGGAGCGAATTGCTCCATGACACCGTATCGCAAAATAAGCGATTCGACGCATGGTAGATTCATAGTCCTCGATAGAAAGTAGTCCAGCTCTACTGTCTCTTTCTGCGATATTTCAGTCAAACAAAGCTCTCCAATGACGTCAAACTGGCGGAGGACGTCGCACAGTGCGTACGGGTTGTTCGCTTGCCACCTCCTCTCCCAGCTGTCCTCGTAATCGCGTCTTGTGAGAGCCCGGATGAATGGAATAGTAGAGTTCAGAGCGTTTTCCGCGCGTAAGAAGCGTTCTATGGATGTCTAAAGCCTGCAGCTGCGGGAAGAGAAGGGCGAAAGAGGGGAAGTTGAGCTCGATGTCAGTGGGCTGTCCGTGAGCGCCACAATACAGCATGAGGCTTCGCACAACCTCCTGGGCATGCCCAAAGAGGTCAAGATACATGGAATTCTGGATGGTTAAGTCCGTCTCTCTCGACTCGACGCCCTCGGGACAAACGTAGAGCGAGAACAACCAGAAACGATACCGAAATGTTTGCTCGCGCCATGATCGGCAGACGAGTGACCAGGCAAAGAAGGGTTGTTTTCGTTGGCCTGATATCTTGTCGAGATGGAAGACGTCGCCGAAGACGGTGTAGACTAATAACTCTGCAGGGAGCGTATGTTCGCGGCGGCGGTGCCTGAGAAGCACGGCTGGCTTTTGACTTGACATAAATCTTCCCGATGGCACTATAGACTTCTATGGCAGCAGATAAGGACCAGTTGCAGCTTTGAGACACGCGATCTACATACCTATTTAGGTAGTATCGATGAGCTGTAAGCTGTCAATGGAAAGTGAAAGTTCCCAAGCGCAGACCAAGCGCCACGCGGGCTAGCTACATATATGATGAGTCGATGGCAAGTATACAAGATAAATGTGACTCGCGTAATAGTGTACTCACTTGCTGATGTGCCTCCTCCTGGTTCCTGGGCAGGGCTTGATTTACTGGCTGATCGCCGCATGGTAACCCTAACCTCAATTTAAGCGCTTGCTTATGTATATTTTGTTCGTTAAACTTGAACGAGAACAAACTTGGAGAGCCCCCGGGTCAGTAATGTACCAACATCTTCGACTGCCCTTTGTAGCTGATACAACTAACCTGCAATGTCACGGGGGAACAGTATCTGAGCGGAACAGCGCCGGTTCCTCCCCAGCAAGCCTAACGACGAGCAGCCCGGCCCGTGACACTATTCGAGTGACCGCTGTATCTGAATGCGCACGAGGCCCAGTTATATAACGACCTGTGCTTGATAGTTTAGGGGTTCTTGGAGGACATCTGCGGGTGCGGAGTGTTTGCCAGCGATAGTGCTGCTGCTACTACCCCTTCCACGACTGCGGATGCTGTGCTCTTCGCTACTCCCAGCTGCAACGGCAGCACATAGTCATGAAAGGTGAATTATGTTTCCTCCTTTTCTCCACCGCTGGTGGTATGCTGACTGTCTATCACTGTCCCGTAGAGAAGTCTTCACTGGAGAGAACCTTAAACCTAATAGAACCGCGCTTATCGAAGGGAGAGAGAGAGAGAGCCACGCGTGTGATCAGCGATCCCCGTCCGCCATTTTTCTCACCTAACCATTGACCAGCATGTTCCACTCAGAGGCCGCCCTGGCCTACGCAGCACAACTGCGGAACCATGGTCACGGCGAACCTCTGTGGCAGCCGGAACCCTCAAAATATGGCGAGGTTCTCATCGGTGACGTTGGATTCATCGAGGACGGGTGCTTCTACCGGCTCTTCAACTGCACACTCGCAGCGGACGATCCCATAAACTCCGGTTTTGTCCCCCATGGGTATGTTCCTTTGGAGTACAACGAATGGGCTCTTCTGCAAACCAGGGAGAACTACCTGCCTCCGAAGCCGATCTACAGCAAATCCATCTCCCAGTTCAAATCTGAAGCAGGGGCGGCGGCGTGAGTTTGCTCTCCCTGCCCATACGTTTTTATTGATTTTGGTGGGCAGTAAAGGGATTTCGCTGTCGTACAAGTTCGAATGCAAAAGCCAGGAGGGAGCGATCCTCGTTCCCGGTTCGGACGTCACCTTATCTCACGTGCAAGCGAATCTACGATTCACGAATACGTCCGAATGAACCACGCATCGTGGCACGCGTTCGCGGTTGATCAAGGTCGCATGATCGCCCCGGAAGATGTTGTCCTGGTCATCGGCTGACTGAAGACGTCTGAGTGGGCCGTAGCGGCTGTTGCAAACCACGGCAAGTCGCACGCGATTTCGTTTGGTGCTGAAGGGGGCATCGCTTCAGCAGAGTTTGCAGTCGAGCATTCGGCAGAGGCAGTAATGTCCGTGAGCCAGAGGAGTGGGCCGAAGCGAGACAGTGCCAGGACTTCTGAGGATTCGTTGGGAAACATGCGAGACCAGTGCCTGTTCGTGAGGTACTACAAAGTCAAGTACCGTCGTTTTCTTCCTATGAAGATCGTAGCGGAGGCGGAGCCCAAGGAGGGGGATGCCTCCGAAGGCTCGGGAGATGGTTGTTCACCTGGAGGTCAGCTGACCCCGGTCATCCGCGGACATGATGGTGCTCACCTTCGTGTTCTAGTAATGGGCAGCCCAACTCTGGCAATGTCACGATCTACAAGTGAAGATTATGTTATAGACGTGGAGGAGATGCCATCCGGAAGAAAGGTACGAAATGGTTATAACTGAAAGTGCTCTCAGCGAAGATTTACGACAGAAATGTTAGCTTCGGGACGCGCTAGACGACCTTTTGGACTACATCTTAGAGGTTCGTGTTTCTGCCAATGACAAGAATGGACTAAAGTTGAATGACTTTGATTACAGTGCTCAGATGCTTCCTCTGCTATTGTAACCCATGATGATTTGAGTTTGTTGGGAATTAACAGTGACGGTGAGTATACAGCTAACACCTGGTAAAATTATATCTAATCAACTCAGAAGATTCGCCTGGCAGTATAATGACTGCGCTTATGAGCCTGCATCCACAAACTGTGGTTGATGCTCATGGCGGTAAGACCATACACCCGTAGGTAAATCGAAAGATTCTGACTCATTCGTAGTTGGATGCATTGTAACTGAGACCGCGGAACCGTCCTTCAACGTGCTCTCAGACTTGCCTAACCGTGACATCGTCGGCGGTCTCGACCCCCTGGCGTCGTTTGACGAGAACTCACCTAACATCTCAATAACAGAAGAGTACAACCCGGCCGAATACAACATACCGAACAGCTCCGGAGTCATTACTTTCGACGAACACTTCATGTCCGTAGTAGACTCTGTGAATCTGCAAGCCTCAGTATCGAATACGCCACCTTCCTACAACAACGCCCCACTGCCCTCCGCTTACGATCACGCCCCCACTGCGTCGAGTAATGGCGCAAGTAATGACCATTCTCGAGCCTTCTCATCCTCATCCTACATGCATCCGAACTCGCCGCCTCTCAATTCTCTCACACAGAACTTTGAGAGTATGCACTTCGAGTCACCGAGCTGGCCGACCTCTTGGCTTCCCCCAGACGGACGTTCGCCGCCAGTGCAACAGCAACAAAAGACAGAATTGCCTGCCCAGCTTGTCATCCTAGATATCTCGAGTCCAGCGACTGCCGTCCACGATGAGTCGTCGACGACCAACGCTCCGGAGGACGACGGTATGTCGACTGGTCCTCAGCTGCACGTTGTTCCCGCAATGTCGGTCAGTGGCGGCGGAGCTACACCATTACTTCAGCAAGGTGTGCTATTTACTTATGGTCCTCTGCTTTGCGGAAATGGTCGCGGGCTTAGCGCGAACGTAACTCCTAATCTGGGGTTATGTCATGTCTACACATCTTGGGTGTCACGCTCGTTGCCAGTGGCCGCCCATTGCATAGTCTGTACACGCTAGGCTGGCATCGGTGTTGGAAGATGTACTTAAGCCACCGCCCATCGATATAAAGCGGGTGACGTTTTGTTTTTTTGACCATGCAGCAGCTCTTTCCCCCATTCTAAGCGCATGGGAAACATTGACCTACCGCTGATCCCTCTTGTTGTTTCAGGGAATATGCAGGAGATCAACCGGCAAAGCTACGATCAGCCACAGCATCTCAATCCTCAGACAGCCAATCAGTCCCCAGCATCCGCCTCCCAACAGATCGACCAGTCTCAGCCTTTTTATCCCGGATCAAACCGCGAGTCATCGGGGATATCATACGCACTCGTGCCTCAGGATTCTTCTTCATCGCCACCCAGACTATCTCACCCACCGGTGGAACAGTCTGCTCAGGAGTCCATCCGCAATGCCAACCGACAGCAGTACATTCATCCTACCCGGACTATCACCCCATACGTTCGCCGGGATCACCACCAGCGCTCGTCGTTGGGCTCTCGCGGACGTCCGCTGGGATGGAACAACGACATCGCTGGCTCTCGTGCAAGCCCGTACTCGAGCCCCGGCGCCAGCCCATGGCCGGCCTACTATCCGCTCCCTAGCGGGCATGAACTGGGCATGAGCATACCGATGCAGCGTCGCCCGATGAGCGCGGACTTTGGCATGCCTCTGGGCGGTCTGATGGACGGTGCGGGCACGAATATGCAGGTCGGCGCCGACACGGAGGCCATGGCGGTCACGGAGGTGAACGTGACGACGCCGAGCACGGCAGACGCGAGCCAGAAGCGCAGGAAGCAGCCCGCGAACTTCACGTGCCCTATCCCGGGGTGCGGCAGCACCTTCGCCCGCCACTTTAACCTCACGGGGCACCTGCGCTCGCACGCCGAGGAGAAGCTGTACCAGTGCAAGTGGCCGGGCTGTGGCAAGGGCTTCGCGCGATATCCCGACTGCAAGCGGCACGAGCAGCTTCATCTCAATGTTCGCTCGTACCCCTGTGAAGGATGCAAGAAGAAATTTGCTGAACTGGATGGACTCAGCCTGCACTGTGAGTAGTCTCATGGCCTTCGATCTTCATATCTTCGATTTTGACGCTGCTTCTGACAGTGCGCTCTGAAGAAGGCGCCGAGTGTTGTAAGATCCGAAAGGAGATGCGACCTGACGGTGTAGAGGAGGATTCTGGGTACGGATCGACGTCGACATCGACGAGCGGATGGGGTACAGAGAAGATGGGGGAGGAACAGGGGAGAGACTTCACTCGACTGCGCGGGCAGCACGACGAGCTCATGCAGAAGGCAGAGGAAGCGGAATTTGAGCGCTTGCGAGCAGAACTCGTGTGGAAGGCGAAGAACGAAGGCATTCTTGCTAGGCAACTATACCCCCCTTCGCCGCCACCATCAGCAAAATAGTCAGTCATAGGTCAGTAAAGAGTTGCCAGTTACCAGGCAAGCGATCTCAGACAACAGAGACGCCACGAATGCCGCAATCTATAAACCTTGTAACTTTAGCTAATATGGGCTCTCTATCTACCACCTATAAATTTGTGTCCGCGCTCGTCGTGGATAGCTCTATATTCGACGCAGATGGAGGACGGAAACTGTAGCTCGCGCGCGGGCAGAGGAGAGCTCCGGATACTGCCCCTGTCTATGTTATGCTCTTGTAACGTTCTTGTCATCATCGAAGAGGCTATACAACTCATCGTAGCCTAGACTGTTGTAGATACCAGATGCCCGCAGTTACGATTCATTTGGTTCGAGCTGAACTGGCTTTTACGAGACACGGGGCGGCGATCGTGTCGGATGCACTTGCTCTTTGAAGTCATAATAGATTCAAAGGCAATATTATTCTTCTCGAGCTGAATGATTACAAGAAATAAAAATTGACGGACATGTATTGCTGACACCAGGAAGAGACGGCGAGAGGGTAGCATAGAGTGCGGCTTGCCGTCGGTGGAACGTGCACCGCTAGATTTTTATGGGCGTCTATTTGCTACTCACCTTTCTACTTGAACACACCCTTCACCTGTGCTTCTCGGACGTATCTTGTTCTACAAAGCTCCAAATATGACAAACAGGCGGAGAGCCTTGACGACAGATGACTTGATGCATATGCAAGAGGACGGCCCTGCGCGTAAACGACGCAAGGGAGAACTCGTGCCAGGGGACGATGGAGACTCGGACTCTGAATTGAAGTTTTCCCCTCGCGGCACTACTAGATGGAACTACGAAGAGGGGAGCGAAGAGGAAAGCGGGGAAGATTCCGGAAGCGGGAGCGACAGCTCCGAAGATGAGGATGAGGAGGACGAAAAGGACGAAGGCTCAGAGTCAGACTCAGCAGACGACACTCGGCCACCAATACCGAACTTATCTGACGAAGATGACATTTCTTCTTCACGGATGTCGATTATCCCTCGAACCTTGCTTGCCATCCCTCGAAAACTGCTGACCGTCCCAGTCAAACACTCGGCCTCCTTCGCAGCTATGAGCATCTCCTCCCCACTGCTTGCAGTATTGAACAAGATGTCCATCAGGGCACCTACAGAAATTCAGGCTGCATGTATACCACCGCTATTCCAAGCCGAGTATGAGCGTCTCACACGAACAAGAGTTTAGCTGACATGGTTCGTATGCAAGGCAGGGATTGCATAGGCAATGCCAAGCCCGGCTCAGGAAAAACTATTGCTTTCGTGCTTCCTATAATTCATAGGCTATCCACCGATTCTCATGGTATTTTTGCCTTGGTTTTAACGTCTACTCGGTACGCTCTATTGTTTTTTCTCTGCTCGAACAGTTTGCTAACTTTACACCAGAGAGCTAGCGTTCCAGATATCTGAGCAATTCGCAATCCTCGGAGCGGCATTTAACATCCGGACTGCAGTCGTAGTCGGCGGCATGGACATCATGTCACAGGCCATCGAGCTGAGCAACCGTCCCCACATTGTTGTTACGACGCCGGGGCGCATTGTTGATCTCCTCCGCAGTAACAACGGGGAATGAGGCCTGTCCCGCGTCAAATTTCTTGTCCTCGATGAAGCTGACCGGCTGTTGACCTCGACCTTCGCACTGGAATTGTCATATCTATTCCAGGCCATCTCGAAGGAGCGGCAGACGTGTCTGTTCACTGCTACATGGATGCCATCCATCGAGACTGTTGCGGACGCACCACCGAAGCCCGGCAAGCAGAAGCCTTCCGTTCACCGGATGACTGAGACGTGCGTATTGCAAACGCCTTCTTCACCTTTACTATGCCTTTACCGAGTGCATGTGCAGCGTCGAGACCGTGGCGACACTAAAGCAGTTCTACATTCTCGTGCCATCACACGTCCGTGAAGCCTAACTCTACTACCTCCTCCGCAGCCCACCAGAGTCGACTCACCACCTCTGACGTGCTCCTCCCGAACTCGTGAAAGGCAAGAAAGCAGCAAACGCAGTAAAGACAGTAAAGCCCACAAAGGAGACGAAGAAGGCCTCCGCTGGCGACGAAGAGGAGGTCGCGCAGCCGCCGCCGCCAGTGATCTTCTGCGCGCGCCCGCGCACGGCGGCGTACCTGATGCACCTGCTGCAGCACATGCGGATCCGGAGCACGGCGCTGCACTCGCGGCTCATGCAGCGCGAGCGGCTCGCGTCGCTGGGCCTCTTCCACGCGAGCATCGTGCCCGTGCTCGTCTGCACGGACGTCGGCGCGCGCGGACTCGACATCGCGAACGTCGCGCTCGTCGTCAACTGGGACCTCCCCGGTGCGCCTGAAGAGTACACGTACCGCGTCGGACGCACGGCGCGTGCGGGCAGGGGCGGTGTCACCGTGAGCTTCGTCACGGAGAGGGACGAGGAGAAGGTGTTGAAGATCGAGGATCGCATTAGTAGGTTCCCCGTCCGTCTTATGCTCCCCCGAGCAGCGCTGATGTCGCTTTTCAGAAACGAAGCTCAGAGAGATGCAGATGCGCGAGGAGAAGGTCCTCGAGCATCTCAATGCGTTTTCGACAGCAAAGCGTCTCGCCAACGTGGAATTCCACGAATCTGACTTTGGGAAGCGGGAGGAGATCCACAAGATCAAAAGCGCAAAGAGGAAAATGGACGTGGCAGGCTCATAGCCTGTGACTTCTGATCGCGCTGTCACACATACACCCGCTCGCGTACAAACGTTCTGGAACTTGAGTCTAATGATATAGGTTACAGTGTTGTACCACCTGAACCTCCATTCTACTTTTGCAGGGCCTTGAGGATCTCCTTGCCGATCAGACTAGCCGAACTGGGATTCTGGCCAGTGATCAGGTTGCCGCTGACGACGACCTTGGGGGCCCATGCCTCGTCAGCCTTAATGTAGTTTCCACCGAGCTCCTTAATCCTGTCCTCGAGCAGGAAGGGGACGACCTGTGCGAAGCGTGAGCGTCCAAACGTGAAACATGTGCATCGATTCAGACGTACCTTTACCTTGTCAATCTGGACCTCCTCGACGTTCGAGAAGCCGGTGGCCTCGCGTCCCTTGAAGATGGACTCGCCCTGAGCGTCGACGGCTCCGACAAGCGCACTGTGTCGCACAACGTCAGCATGTATCGCGCGTATTTGTGCGCGGAGGATGGCTCCACTCACGCAGGGCCGTGGCAGACCGCGGCGGTGATCTTGCCTGCCTGGAAGAATGCCGACGCGAGCTTCGCGTTCACAGGGTCGGACGCGAGGTCGATGACGGGGCCGTGCCCGCCGACGTAGAAGATCGCGTCGTAGTCTTTGGCGTCGACGTCTACGAGTCGCTTCGCGCTCGCGAGCTTCTGCTTCACGGTAGCGTCCTCGAGGAACTTGGTGCTCTCCTCGTCCTGCTTGAAGGCCTGCGCGGGGGTTTCGGGTCTCGGTTAGGGTGGGAGAAGGACAATGGGAGGGGCAACATGCACCTGCACACTGCCCGGGTCAACTGGCGGGTTGGCCCCTGCGGGCGAGGCAAAAATCGATTTCGGCGTGGGGCGAGAGGGCTGCGAGCTTAGAGTGAGTATAGTGCCCCGCAAGAGTGCCAGTGCGATTTGCATACTCCAGAATGGATGGGCGGCCTCGGGGAGGTACCAGCCCTGTACGCCACGTTAGACTCGGTGTTCAGGATGCGTGGCACGCCGTGCACTTACAGTCGGGTCGCCGGTGAGGCCCTTGTTGACGGAGGTGAAGACGAAGAGAATGCGGGGAGACATTGAGATGCGACGCGTTTAGAGGATGGGAATGATGGTGAGCGACCTCTCGCGAGTGCAGGCCTTATATACTCCCGGGTCTTAGTGCAAAATTATGGCGTTCACATTGGGACGGGACTGTCGACCGTGCATTGCCGCGCTTCCGTTGCATACCCGTCCATTGCCGTGCAAGCGCCTTCGCATGGTGGTCGTGTACACGTTGTAATTGGAGGAATCGCACCTGAGACTGACTAAGAGGGCGAATGGTAGTAGTGTGACTAAGGTGCGTCTGAAACCAGTAGACTGGAATGGCCAACAAAACAGCTTAGAAAGATCCTACTGGAATATTTCTTGCAGCCTCACTGTGAGCTCGCGCCGGCTATTGGTGCCCATCCAGCCGAACATGCGTCTGCTATGCAACAGGCTTTTTGGCTGGGAAGTCAAGCTTGCGCAGGAGCATCCTCGGAGCGATAGCAGCCGCCTACACGAGGAGCTGGCACGGTACTTGAACTGGCCGTACCTCGCCAAGGAAGTGCATGCGCTGAATGAGGAATATCTTCGCCCAGCGAATTAAGCGTCCGCATGCTACTCTACATTGGTCAGATACCGTATACATGTAATTGGCTTTTTTATTGACTCGTCTCATCTGTTTTCTGTCTGTATGCGGTGACTTCCCCTCCTTTCTGTTCTGTATACATTATATGGCGAACCGCTCTCTGTATCCGTCCCGCTCTGCCTAGATTATTTTTTCCCCTTCGAATGTTTATCGTATGAATATCTCCTGTCGTGATTCTCGGCAACATTCTGAGCGGAACGAGGTGAGCGGGGTCATGGCCTTTGTCACGTGTAGGCGGCACGTCGGGCCCGCTGTGTCCGCTTCCCGTGGCGGCCGGAAATGTTGCTAGCCGCACTAGCCTCTGAAAGCCCGCGCTGCTTCAGCTGTACCACGTTCGACATTTCAACGTCATGGCAAGTTGTGCGCGCGGCGAACATGCTGCTGTGAAATATTCCCACTTTGAGGTTGGAGAAGTGTCCAAGGGGGACCCCGAGCCGCCGGGCAGCAAACCGCCCCGGCAGCCCAACGACCAACGCCCGCCCCCCGCCAGGGCGGCGCACACCCGTAACGGAAGCCCTACTGACACTCCCCATGGAAGCGCATTCAACTCGCCCTTCGAGGATCGGCTTCAACAGCGCAATATTCAACTTTCAAACCTCGCGTTACCAAATGCACCCAACAGGAGTCGTTCTTTTGAGTGGCGTAAGTCGTTATCTTGGTCTCCAAGCGGCCGCTCTGATCACTGTTCCCGCAGATGACAAATCTGCACCTTCTCCTGGGCCTGCGCCCGTTCTCTCATTGGATAGGCTCCCGCCTGAATTGCATGACTACATTTACGACATCCTCGTAAGCTTTGATGCAGAAGTTGGTATCGCGGCTCTCCTTAGTCTCCAAGCATGGTCTAGGCAGCTTCATCCTCATCTCTTCAACAGGCTCATGCTGAAGAACGAGGAAGACTGCCATATGCTATATGATATACTGTGGTCCCAGTTGTTGGCCTGGCTTGCAGAGCACACCATCGTGTTGATGTTCACCAACACTTGCTTCACCAATCCTCATCTCTGGATAACACGCATGTGCCTCCTGCCAGCGTGCCGCTCTGTCCACAAAATTTATCAGCCCAGCAGTCCTCCTGCATGCATGGTGCACAGCGTGGCCCTGAAGAGCTTGCTGCAGAATATCATATTGTCGTGATACGACTACTGGGCTGCGCGAGCGCGAACTGGCGAGTGGCACGTGGGCA